CAGACACTCCCAAATTCAAGTCTTTTAATGCCAGGTTTTATTAACTCCAATGGGAGGCCTTACCCTCTCTGAGGAGTGGATAGGGTTGTGGGGAGGAGTGGGGGAGAGAGCAGGAGGAAGGAAGGAAGAAGGAACTATGGTTGGTATAAAAAAATTTAAATAAAGCTGGGCGGTGGTGTCGCACACCTTTAATCCCAGCACTAAGGAGGCAGAAGCAGGTGGATCTCTGTGAGTTCGAGGCCAGCCTGGTTCCAGGACAGGCTCCAAAGCTACAGAGAAACCCTGTCTTGATAAACCAAAATAAATAAATAAAAAGACATTAATTATAAATGCTCCGCCAATAGCTTAGGCTTGTATCCAGCCAGCTCTTAGCAGCTTAGCCCATTTCTATTAATCTATGTGCTGCCCCGAGGCTTGTTTGCCACATCTGTGAACTTCCCATGTTGTTGCTGCCATGTCTGGCTCTCAGCTCCTCCAACTCTGCTCTCCTTCTTCCCAGCATTCTCTCTGTCCTGAAAATCCTGCCCAGCTATCAGCCAATCAGCTCTTAACAATGAAAGCAGCACATCCTCACAGTGTACAGGATTATCCCACGGCGGATCTCTGTGAGTGTGAGTCCAGACTGGTCTGCAGAGTGAATTTCAGGACAGCTAGGGCTATGTAGAGAGACCCTGCCAATAGATGAATGAATGAATGAATGAATGAATGAATGAGCAAAACAAAAATCAGAAACATCTGACTAACTTCTGGATTAAGCAAAGAAGAAAAGGCATTGGCTTCTCCCCGGCTTCAGACTTAGAATGGCTTTTCTACTTTACTTCTTGCCTGTTTCCATCTGGGATACTTTGTCTGCAGCCCAGACAATTCAATTCCAGAAGACTCCTCACTGTCCCTGTGTCCCTTCTGGCAGCCAAAACAAAACAAAACAAAACAAAACAAAACAAAAAAACCAAACCAAAACAATAACAACAACAACAACAAAAAAAAAAAAACACAGGACTGAGTTAATTGTGGTGACACATACCTGTAACACCAACACTCTGGAGGCTGAAACAGAAGCAGTGTTGGTTAATACTGCTACTTATCAGGATCTAGGATCCCCCAGAAGATAAAAGAAGATAAACCTCATGCTTGAGAGGAATTAACCAGTTTAGGTTGGTCTCTGTGCATTCCAAAGGATGGTGTAGGTTAGGTTCATTAAAGTGGGAAGACCCACCCTCCAACGTGGGCAGTGCCATCCTATGGAAAAGCCACCCTCAACTGGGTGACCCCTTCTCATGGGCTGCTAGCCCAGATTGCATGAACAGGAGAGTGAATTGAGCGCCTCTGTCCATTGCTTTCTGTCTCCTCATTGAGTATACAATGTATCTGTGACTTCCCTGCCACAATGGCCTGTATCCATGGCGTGAGTCAAAATAAATCCTCCTGTAAGTAACTTTTGCCAGGTCTTTTTCATACCAAGAGATAAGAAACTAACACACAAATTAGGAGTCCAATCTGGCCAGGTGGTAGTGACCCACACCTTTAATTGGGAGGGAGATGCAAGTGGATCTCTGAGTTCGAGGCCAGCCTGGTCTACATAGAGTATTCCAACTTGACCAGGACTACATATAGAGACCCTGAAAAAAAAAAAAAAAAAAAAACAAAAACAAAAAAAAAACAAGAAAGGCCAACCTTGGCTCCACAGAGAAACTTTGTTACAAAACAAACACAAACCACAGGACAGGTTTTCATGGGTTTGAATCAAGTCGGGAAGCCATTCCTGAATCAGTCACTGCAGTCAGTATGGTGAACGGGTAGAGTCCTGAGCTGGGCCTTGAGCCCTCAGGGGTTAGGAAGAGGGGTCAGTCCCAGGAGGTCAGAGTGAAAGACCGGTTACAAAGAGCACTGGTCTGGCATGGGGGTGCCTGCCATTAGGTCAGCACTCAGGAGGCAGAAGCAGGTAGATCCCTCTGAGTACAAGACCAGCCCACACTAGCCAAGGTTACACAGTGTGAGACCTGGTCTCAAAGCAAAAACAAAAACAAAAAAACCAAACAAACCAAACAACCAAACAAAAAGACTCAAAAAACAAACAGGGCTGAATGAAAGATTAGCAGATACAGAGAACCCAGGCTGCTGAGATGCCAAGGGAACAAGAGGGAATGTAACAAATTCCCAGAAACCCCCATCTGTCGTGGTGAGCCCAGTGCTCACGCCTAGAACCTAGCACTCCCGAGGCTAAGGCAGTTAGAGCAGAAGTTCAAGGTCATCCTCTGCCACCTGACTTTGAAGCCAGGTGGCATAGAGTTCTCTGGCTCGCAGCCCATCCGGGACACAAAGTTACGGTATAGAGTTTTCTGGATCGCAGCCCATCCGGGACACAGATGGGAGTGTGAAAAGGTGAATGACGCTCAAACCTGGGGGTCCATGGACCCCAAACTCTGGATTATTTGTCACATGCCAGTACAGTCCTGGGGAGTATGTGACGGTAGGGATTCTAAGGTGTTAGGAACTGGACTGTCAGGGAGCCTAAAATGTGAGGGTGTGCTGTAATGATCGGAGGTCTAGAACACCGAGGACGTTTTTGTCCATGCCAGAAAACACTTGTATATCTGGAATCCTCATGATTTTAGAAGAAACAGAGCATATTGTCAAATCAAAGTGTTTTTTCAATCGGAATGAAAGTGTTTGGAGGAGAGAACAATGTGGAGAATCTTCTAGAATGCTGTAGAGGGTTTTGAAGTGTTGAGATCCTACTAGGATCCGGAAAAAAAAACATAAATATGATATAAAAATAAGAAATGGGAACTGGAGACTTCAAATTCAGGGGGGGGAAGGGAAGCCAATACCATCCCTGCCATCCCCGGAAGTTGCAGTGGTGAGCCAGAGGCTGTTGCCTAGCAACGAGCATTGACGATGCCCTGGATCCTGGGCAGAAGGGAGAAATTTCGGCAGCGCCCCCAGCAAATGCTCCAGCCACAGGGTAGGATATGGGGAGGGGAGAGACAGGTGAGGGGCATGGTACCCCACAGGGCTGTATGAGCAGGGACTTGGGGGGATCCCACAAAGACAGAAGCATGGAGCACAGTTAATGGCAAAACTGGAACTCCATTATTGCATTGGGTCAGCCCATGGATAGCTGGGACGAGTCCTGCCTGCCAACGTGCACCTGGGGCCTGATGACCCTGGACAGTGGGTGGGCCTGATGTCTAGGTTTTAGCGTGGGGCGGAGGCATGCATTGCTGTAGGTGGCAGTAATGGTGTGAAGGGGGCTGCGTGAATCAGCCCGTGTGGCTCACTGCAGGGAGGGGTTAGGTGTGTGCCCTGTATGTCTTCCGTTGGAAAGAATGGGACTGGGGGTGGCATGAATGTGGAACATTCCCTGCTCAGTCGGGCCTGAGGCCTGCTTACCTTCTGTAGCTGGAACCCCAATATGCCTGGGGGCAGGGCTAATGCTTTGTTTTAGTCAACCAGCTGGCCGGTGTATGGTGGGCACACACTTGCCATGCTCAGACACGCAAGGTAAAGTAAGGAGGAGCAGGCATCCAAGGCAATTCCAAGCAGATTCAAGGGGAAAAAAAAAAAACAGTCAAACTGTTGAGCGATGAGACTTCAAAACCCCGTAGTGGAGCAACGGGAAGAGTGGGGTTTGGAATTCCAAGGGAATCCCTCTCCCATTTCTCTCAGTCTGAAGCTCAAGCAAAAGCAGGAACTCACGGGGGGGGGGGGGGGGGGGGGGGGGGGGGGGGAGGGTGGGAGCAGACTGAAGCTCTAGGTTTGTGAGGCTAAGAAGGTGGGGACTTGGGGTTGGTTTGTTTGAAACAGGTTCTTGCATGTAATCTCTTGAAGGCTCTGAATTTGCTTTTCCACCAGGCTGGCCTGGAGCTTCTCGGGCTCCCCTTCCCAAGAGCTGGTATTCCAGGGCTTATACTACCATGCCAGGCTGGAATTCAAGTTTGTAGAGAGGGGAAGGAGTTGGGCTTGAGACCCACTGAATTTGGAGGTTGTAACAAGGGCTTGGAGCCTGGAACCCACTAACATGAGTGGGGAGTGGGTGGGCTTATGATCTCCTGTAGCCTAGGCTCCTCCCTGCCAGAAAGGAGGAAATTGGCGGTCTCCAAGAACAAAGGCTATTTATTGTTCTGGGCTTGTGTGGGTTGTTGGGGGAGACGCTAATGAGTGGGGCAGGAAGGGGTTCTGGTTTCTTCTAGGGACCAAGGCTGAAAGGGGTGTGGGAGGGGTAGAGCTGGGAGCTCTCAGGGAGTTGTCTGGTCAAGGGCGTAGCCTGGATTCACAGAGGGCAGAACTTGGAGGGACAAGTTTTTGCAGATGGTGAGGCTGAAACAGCGGGCAGGGCCATCTTTCCGGAAGGCTTGATGTGGTCGACAGAGACGACACCTGGGTCGGATGTAAGATTAGTACCCCAATACTACTTTCTTGTTTCTTCGAGATTTGGGGTGGCTGAGGAGGAAAGGAAGAACTCATGATATAGCCCAGGCTGGCATGGAGCTCAGGATCTCCCTGCCTCATCCTGGGGACTGCCATTAAGTCTGGTACAGCAGCAGAATCTGGTCTCTCACCTGATAGGTACGTACCCGGGGGAACTATCAGTTCCATTAACCAGAGAGCTACATTCTAACAGAATCCTCCCAGCCCTGAGCGAGGGGTGAGGCCTGCTAGCCTAAGTCCAGCTTAGAGGACCTGGACCGCCCTATGCATCCATCTCGGTGGCGACCACTTTTGTCCCTTGGCCCTGCTCAAGAGAGATTGTTGCAGTCAAGTACCTGATCCTGGAAATCCTCCCACCTCCAGAACTCCCCGCCTGGGCCACCCCGCCCGGCACCTGTCCGTCTAGCCCCTCCCCTGTCGCGAACCCATTGGCCTCTCTCAGAGCGCTGGCAGCGCAGGGATCTGATTGGCGGGAAGTTTCACAGCCCCAGGCTTGCACGGTGGAGAAAGTGAGTCGGCCTCCGGCTGGGGCGGGAGAGGGGGCGGGGCTGGGGCCAAGCGGATCGGGACCCACTGGACACACTGCCCTCCCGGAGCCGGACTCTGAACCCGACAGGATGCGCCGGTCTGGCCTCTGTGGCCACCGCCCCCTCCTCCTCCTGCTGCTGCTCTCAACTGCCACCTCTGCTAGCAGCCCCAGCCCCACCCCCAGCTCTAGCCAGGCCGTAGAGGACAAGGTGGTCCCGGGCCACCAGGCCGGGTAAGCCCACTGCAGACTCTTCTTCCGCATGCGTGCTGCACCCAGTAAATCTGATAGTTCCGGAGGAGCAACACCCTCAGATTTAGGAGACTCCAAAGCAAATGCTTTTGGTAGGATGCTGTGGTCAAAGCTCTTGGATCTATTAGGAGTCCGTATTTTGCAGGCGCTAAAATTCGAGAAGTGCTGAGACTTCTAGGGTGGTGGGATGGATAAGGTTCCAGCCAATCCCCGAGTTTATTGGGGGATAGTTGTACCACGGTAAAGATCCCACTTGTCTTAGAATGAGATGGGTGGGGCCCTTGAACTAACCTGGAGCTCCCCAAGTTTCTTGAGTGCCCAACAAAATAAGGTGCTAGAAGGTCGTGGTGAGGTCTTGAAGAAAAATGGCCGTGTTATGAGTTTCTAGGGGCGCTGGGTTACTTGGAAAGGACTCTATTTTTTTCTAATGGAATAGGAAGACGCGAATGGGCCGCTGGCAGGGGGACTAGGGGAACCTGTGTAGGGGATACTCGGGTTTTCTGATGCTCTAGTATGCTGAGATCGGAGCTCATCAGGATTGAATTACGAATGATTTGGCGGAAAGATCCAGGATAGTTTTTTAACTTGGGGGTTACAGGCATCCATCTCTTCTGCGGGTGACAGGATCGGAGGAGACGGTCTGCCTAGAACTCCGGCCCTGCGCCTGGCATCCCTGCGCTCCGCTCCGTTACAAAGGCCGCGGGCCCTGCTCCCGCCTCGGTCTCTGGGAATGCGTTTAGTAACCCGAGCCGCGCCGGGGGCGGGGCTGGGAAGGGGTTAACCTGGAGAAAAAGCGGGAGGAATGGCGACCGGGTTGGGGGGTCTCGAAGGCTTCCCCGGGATAGCCTGCTAACCCACTGAACCCTACTTATCTGCAATGGGTCTGAGCATTGGATTCCCTTTCTCAGCATCTTCCAGGGTTGTCTTCTCTGGGCCTGAACGTGCACCTTCATTCCTCGCCCCCCTTTAACTTGGGGATAATGGACTTGTCTGGGGGGGGGGCTGGGTTGCGACGTTCTGGCAGTACCCTGAAGGGGCTGACGCTGAGACCCTGTGGCGCGGAGACATGTCCAGTAAAGTACTCTCAGACACTGAAGCCCGAGGACCAGGAGACGCTGGTCCCAGGACGTTCAGCCTGGAAAGGCAGGAACCAGATAAAAGTCAGGCCTCGGGATTCCCAATCCTGGACTCCGGTATCCCCTTCCACCTCAGCACTGAGCTGGACCCGCAATCTAAGGAGACACCGCGGTGCACAGCCACTGAGGTCTGTGTGTGTGGCGCCACCTACCGGCCAGGCTCAGGATGGCGGCTGAGTACCGACTCGCGTCGAATTAGTGGGCGGAGTTCTGGATGCCAGACAGGCTGGGCACTTAGGGATCTCTTTTGACTGTTTCTTAAAATCATTTTAAGCCTGACGTGGTGGCTTACGTATGTAACCTTAGCATTAGAGGGGATGAAGTAGGAGGATTGTCGTGAGTCTAAGGACTTCCTGGGCTACACAGTAGGTTCTAGAACAGTCAGGGTTACCGTGTGTGACCTGTCTCAAAATGATAACGAGTTCGAGGCTAACCAGAGCTACATAATGAGACTCTCTGTCTCGAATAATGATGATTGATGATGATGAATTTCATAAGATACATAGATGTAAATTTTTTGTAGCTTATACTGAAAGCCTAGTTTGCCTCCTCTGGTTGCACAGGCATGCAGAGAAATGCCTCACATTAAGTTACTTATCTGCTTGGGGTTCCCTCAAGTCTTGTCTTGGTTTCTTTTCTGTGATCCACCCCGCCTTCCTTTGGGGAGTTTTGGGGTGCCAGGAAGCTGAACCGCCCCGTTCTTCTCTTTACAGTGTTGCTGCCTGTCTCTGCTGCCTAGGCCAGACACCTAGGAGGAACCGCTGTCCCAGAGGTGGGTTCTTCCACATGGGATGCGGGTAGGTAGGGGGTGAGAGGTTCCCTTCTCCAGCCTCGTCCAAAATGAATAGAAGGTGCATTCAATAGAGGCGCAGACTCCCTGATGTCCCACTGAGTCCCTGCTTGTCTCTGAAGCTTTTTGCAGGCTCCGAAACTGCCCACGTGACAGGTGCACAGACCTCCAGGGGTGCCTGACCCCAACACCTCCAGTGTCCAGCCCCAGCCCGGTGGAGAAGAGACAGGTGTCCCTCAACTGGCAGCCACTGACGTAAGCACGTGATTCCTCCGTGATCTTCCCTCAGGGACATCTAGTTTCTCCCCCCCCCCCATACACACACAGCGACACATACTGTAGTCACTGTGTTTCTATGGATTCTCCTCCTTGCCCAGCTTAATCACTGGGTCTTTTCCACCTGATCTGTTCTGTCTCTATGTCCCACCCCGTTTTCTTTCCATCATCTCATCTCTCTGTTCTTGTTATGTCCTTCCATATCTAAGTCACATCTCTCCTCTCTCTCTCTCTCTCTCTCTCTCTCTCTCTCTCTCTCTCTCTCTCTCTCTCTCTCTTCTCTCTGAAAGCATTTCTCTAAAGAACACCCAAGGTTTGCTCCCCATAAAAGGGCTGGGGGCAGTGTTGGGCAGAGCACTTCTAGAAGTTCTAGCTTAGGGGGCCCTTTCCTTGAGGTAAGGGAACCAATTTAACAGTGGTGACAGCCTCTTCCTTCCCCTTCCACCCAGTTTGCAGGAGGCCCGAGCTCTGCTGAGGCAAAGGCGTCCCCGAGGGCCGTGGGCCCGGGCATTGCTGAAAAGGAGGCCCCCACATCGCGCCCCTGCCGGCCAGGCCCGGGGTAAGAACATCCGCCCTTCCTCCGTGTAGGGGGCGGAGGGGGATGGTTCCGGGCCAGATAAAGCCGTCTGGTTCCCACGGTGCTGCCGCCGCCAACCAGTCCCCCATTGTAGCTCAGTCCACCCCACTCCCCAGGACGCGGCCACCTCTAGGGACCCCTGCGTCCGGCAGTACGAGGTGAGCCAGGGACAGAACTAGACGCAGGCCAAAGGCGCTGACCCATCGGGGTGGGGCCGGGAAGCCAGGCGTCCGGGCTCGGGCTCCTGCGACTGAAGAGGGGGGCAACTCGCCCAGCAGAGAGGGAGGCTGAACCAGCCCAGACAACAAAAGCGATTGTGCGGGTTGGCGCCTGCCCGGGCACAGAATGCCCAAGATTGCGGGACGGCTAGGGGCCAAAGGCTTTCCCCTCTTACATGCCAGACCCTCCCTTGGCCCTGTTCTTACTCCAGCTCTGTACCCCAGACTAGATCTCTCTAAAGGCTCAACCACCCTCGGAAGCCCCCTCCTGCTGTGTGGCCTTCAGCCCAGATGCATCCCCTCCTTCCTAAAGTTTTCCAGATGTTAGCCCCAGACCAGATGTGAGGACCCCCACCTACAGTCTGCACCCATCCCTTGCCTTTATCCATTCCGACCTCTTCCACCAGGTGTAGAGTCTTGGCCTGATGTAACATCTTCAGGTGTAGCTCACTCCCCCTCACCCCCCGGAGCCTCCTCTCCAGAATCCAGTTCTTCCAATTCCTTTATGTGCCCTGTGCACTGATCCTTCTCATCACCCACAGATGTGCCACCTCGCTGCCCACATAGGCCATCCTTGTCCGCTGTCTTGATGGAGCCCTTTCCCTATGCCTAGTCAGAGGACCATCCTTTAGCTGGGTCCCCAAATGCGACCCCCATTACCCTGATGGATTTCCTCTGTATGGATTCAACTCTGTATGAGGGCAAACCCGCCCGCCCCCACCTGTTCCCTTCCCTGCTACTCCCCTGCGGGCCCCATCCACTTGTTGGAGCGCGGTTGGGAGCAGAGGGGGCGCCCTCCCCTTCCCCCTGCAAGTCTAGCGCCCAGCCTTCGCGCCTCTGGCTAAGCGCCCAGCCCCACGCGCCCCCGCGCGGCCGCCCGGGAGGGAGCGGGGGGGGGGCTGAGCGGGGGCGCGGCCGCCCTCCCCCGCGGGCGGGCGGGCGAGCGGGTGCGGCCGGGCCCCTCGGGCGGGCTGGGGCGGCGGCGCGGTGGAGCGCGGCGCTGCAGCCATGGCGGGCGGCGCGCGGCTGCTCTGGGTGTCGCTATTGGTGCTGCTGGCGCAGCTGGGGCCGCAGCCCGGGCTGGGCCGACCCCGAGAGCGTCTCCGCGTGCGCTTCACCCCCGCCGTGTGCGGCCTGCGTTGCATCCACGGGCCCACAGGCTCCCGCTGTACCCCGACCTGCGCGCCCCGCAACGCCACCAGCGTGGACAGCGGCGCGCCCGGCGGGGCGGCCCCGGGGGGACCCGGCTTCCGCGCCTGTGAGTGCGGGATGGTGCTCCCGAGGGAGGAGTGCCCGGAGGGAGGATCCCGGAGACAATGCCCTTGGGATCAGGAGCCCAGATTCCATGTACAGACGTGCTGGGGAGTTCGTGGGGTATTTGAGGAAGGGGGCTCCGAATTCCTAGCTTGGGGAGTTGGTTCCTAGGGCGCTGATCTCAGGAGCGATAAGTGTTTTCGAGGACCTGTGGTGTCCCACGTGAACGGACTGGGATTAGCTTTCATCCCTCTCAGTCAAGGCGGGGATCTCAGAATTGAGGGTCCTGGGAACTTTTGGGAAAGGTTCCAAATTCGGAGATTGTGCGTAGTGAGTGAGCAGGGACTGTTTCAGGGTCGCGCGGGGGATGTCTCAAGGTTCTGTGTCTGGCTTTGGGAGGGGGAGAATAGTCCAGCATGGGATTGCCTGTGATGAAGAGCTGAGAGGGATGGGGCCCAGAAAAGACAGTGTCTTTCGGCAAGACCTGAACTACTGCGGTTCCACGTGCGACAGATATCCAGATAGGCGGCCTGGGGAAAGGGCGCCCCCTGGGGGAGGAGGGAGACGAGCTTGCGCTTCAGACAAGGGGAGCATTCTGGGGTTCAGGTGAGGTGTGGTGGGCGAGCCACCTGCTATCCCAGAGTGTGGGGGTGGAATGGCTTTCTGGGGGTCGGGTTTTACTTGTCTCCCACTCCTCACGCCCTCTGGAATGGGGAGTGGGGCCCCTGGCGCCGAGAACTCGCCCAGCCTGGCCCCCAGCCAGCCCAACCCGGCCGGCGTGAGCTCATCTCCCGCCTGAGCCCCCGCCCGCTACCACTCCCTTTCTCCGCCCCTTCCTCCCTCCTTCCTTCACTCCTTCCCGGCCCAGCCCCAACTCGCCCGTGCCAGGCGCCGTGCCCAGGCGGGTGCCAAGCCCCTGGAGGCACAAGGAGGGACATGTGAAGGCGGGCTGACCTCGGCAAGACCCTGATGTCCTTAGCTCCCTGTTCTTCCAACGGTGGGGGGCATGAAGATAGCTTTGTCCTAGCAGGAAGCCCCTGGTATGGTCACCCTGAGTTGGGGGATCGGGGGAGGGTCTACAGTCAAGTCAAGAGCAGGGAGTGGATGACTTAAGAGACTAAGAAATGCCCCTAACCTTGGTGGCTTCCACCTAACAGGGACAGTGCCATTTTTGCAACCTTGCTTCTCAGTTGAGCCCTTCTTAAACTCTTGTCATTTTAAGAACCCCCATTAAGGTACCTGGAGTCCAGGCTTAACACTCCTGACAGGAGATCCGGGTTTCTGACCACGGGATCCTAAGGTCCCTCTTTACCCCGGGTCAAACACTTCAGGAGCTCCTCAGAGAAGTTCCTTCTCCGTCTTCGGAGGGACATCTCCAAGCTGCGCCCCTCCCTGGAGAACTTTAGTATTTTCACCCAACGGCTTCCCACTTCCCCAGAAACCCTCTAGCGCAAGCCCTAAGTGGAGATGTCTTCCTCGCCACCCCTCCCCCCAATTCCCTTTCCACATAGCCTCCTATTTTCTTGTTTCTAATGTAGATTCCCAATTCCTCTCTACAGGTTTTGCCCCATCCCCTAGGAACTTTGGACTCCTCCCTACCATCAAAGAACCCCAGAACTGGTCTTAATTCATGAATTCTCCCAAGAACACTCCAGAGACCACGCTGTTATCACAGACAGCCACTAATCAAAACTTAAGGCAACTAGGCCCTTAGCTAGGAAGGAGTAGGGCTTTCCACAGAATCCTAAGGTCCCAGCAACTTGAGACTCTTAATATGCTGGAAACGTCCAGATTCCATTTCTCCTTGTCCTCCGCACCATCACATGGGCCACACCCCCGCCTCCAGAAAGTAGTCGAGTCCTGTTTTCTAGGCAACTCTCCCAAAGGACTTGAAAGACTCTTAGTTGAGAGCCTAGATTGGCTCTGAGCTAGCCTCTCCCTGCCTCCTAGGAATCTTGGGTCGTCTTTGAACCCCAGAGTACTGCCTCCACGAGCATACCTACCAAGGACTCCTGTCCCCTGACTTTTCTAAAGTGAGGTGCCCCGCCCCGTGTTCTCTTTTGTACAGTTGTGGCTTCTGAAATCCCACACACACCTCCTCGGCCCGCCCGGGCTGCTTGCTCCCTCCTTCCCTTGAGCGCAGCTGTCTCCAGCTGTTTTCGGCAGCCCCAGGGGAAGGAGAGGGGGGGTGCCCTCAAAAGACACGTCCGGCCTCCTTTGGCTCAGCAGTCCGGGGCTCCCCAAGGGTCCGGAATGCGGAGACGACGCCCTGCCCCCGCAGCACCCCTTTCTTTGTTTACCCCGCCGCACAGCTGGCAGTGCCCCGCCCAGAGGTGGCCTGGGGCCCAGGGAGGGCGCGCAGAGGGGAGTAGAGGCGCGTCCCCGCTACTTGCCCCGCCTGTGCTACCGAAGGCTCGGAGGGAAGGCTAAAACTGCGAACTGTTTGAGGGAGTAGGCGGGACTAAGTCTCCAAACTCGCCCTGGCATAGGAGGAGCGCGATCCACGGCAAATCAGAGGGAAGAGAGTGGGCGGTACTAAAGGTACCAGGTGTCCTGGCTAGGCGGAGTTTACAATCTCAGGTGGGAGGCCGTGTGGGCGGGGCTAGAAAGGAGTGATTGGCCAAGGGAAAAAGCTGGGACGCCTGGAGTCCAGCTAAGGAGGCAGAAAAAGGAAGTGTCGGGTTGGGTAAAGAGAGCTATGGTAGGCGGAGATAATCCAATGGGCGGGAATAGCACTGTATGGGCGGGGCTAGAATGTCTGAACTCCGCCAGAAAATGGGAAAGTGAATGAAGAGAGAGGAAGGGGGCGGAGTGAGCCCACTTAGTAGACCGGACTATGTAGTAGATAGCTTCACCACTGGACCCAACTGATGTAGTCCTGTAGTTGGCAAGATTGGCCAATGGCCACACGACAGCTAAAATAAAAGCTTGGTGTGGTGGTGATATACTGCTATAATCGGAGCTGGGAATCGGAGGTAGGAGGATCAGGAGTTCAAGCATCGGCTATATTCTGGGTTTTTGAGGCTAGCCTGGGCTACATTAGCCCCTACCTCAAAACACAAAAGCAAATAAACGGAAAACACCTAAGGTGGAGAGATGTTGGATGAATCACCGTGAGGGCCTCGCGTTACAGCGCTGGGAACTGAGTTAGCTTGGGTTCATCTGACACAGGCATAGTACTGATTTGTGTGTGTGTGTGTGTCCCCTTACTTTCTCCTCAGACCTGTGCCCCTTGATCTGTCACAACGGTGGTGTGTGTGTGAAGCCTGACCGCTGCCTCTGTCCCCCGGATTTCGCTGGCAAATTCTGCCAATTGCATTCCTCGGGGGCCCGGCCCCCGGCCCCAGCCATGCCGGGCCTTACCCGCTCCGTGTACACCATGCCACTAGCCAACCACCGTGATGATGAACATGGTAAGGAGAATTTAGCCAAAGGGCCTCTGGTCCCCTTTCACTTCAGGGACTTAACCATTCTCTGATCAAGTTTGTCGCCTTCCGTGCTACCCTCCCAAGCCCGGTTTGGTAGCGTCTACCTGTAATCCCACCAATGGGATGCAGAGGCAGGAGGATCACTGAAAACTGCAGGCCAGATTACATTACCACCCCCACCCCCAAGAAACCTACCCAGATATCAAATACCTCAGCTCACCTCTCCAATCTATTCCCAACAAGGCAGGATACGTGTAGACATAGCCCTTTGTCCATCTTGCCTCTGCTCAGGTGTGGCATCGATGGTGAGCGTGCACGTGGAGCACCCTCAGGAGGCATCGGTAGTGGTGCACCAGGTGGAACGTGTGTCAGGCCCCTGGGAAGAGGCGAACCCTGAAGCCCTAGCCAGGGCTGAGGCGGCAGCACGGGCCGAGGCGGCAGCGCCCTACACAGTGCTGGCACAGAGCGCGCCGCGCGAGGATGGCTACTCAGACGCCTCCGGCTTCGGTTACTGTTTCAGGGAATTGCGCGGAAGCGAAGTGAGAGCAGGCCCGCGGGCTGGGGTATCCCCCTAAAGCATACCACCGCGCGGGGGCGCGCTCACCCATCGCTTCCCCAACAGTGTGCTTCGCCACTGCCCGGGCTCCGGACTCAGGAAGTATGCTGCCGAGGGGAGGGCTTGGCCTGGGGTGTTCATGATTGTCAGCCGTGCTCGGAGCACCTGGGTAAGCCCCAGATCCTCCCCAAACCTCGCCTCTTCTCCTCCGGCACAGATAAACCCCAGTCACATATTTTAGCTATACCTACCTTGGTACGGAGGTCATGTCTATTCTAGGTCCCCCCCCCCACACCCGCCCACACACACACCGTTGAATCCATTTACCCTGTTTTGTGATTTTGGTCACACTTTTCAGTCGGCTTTGGTTCCTTTATCTCATCCATGCATTTCAAGATCCTCCGAAGTTACCTACTAAGCTGCCAAAGGGAGACTAATTTGGTACTCAAACCACACCTCACTCCTTTTAGCCCTTCCCACGTAATCTTTCTTTAAAACTGCTCGGTTGTCTGTCTGCCAACCTGTTTCTGCTCCGACCCCTCCTTTCTGCACAGGGAACTCCAACCGAGTGAATGGCCCAAATGGACCGTGTCCAACCGGCTTCGAGAGGGTTAACGGGTCCTGCGTAGGTAAGGGACAGCGGGGAGCAAGGGCTTGTCTAGTATAAAGAGTGACTGCCAAGCATGTAGTCCCCAACTCGCCAAACACTCCCTCGATTCTTGCAGATGTGGATGAGTGCGCCACAGGTGGGCGTTGCCAACACGGGGAGTGCGCCAACACTCGTGGCGGGTACACGTGTGTGTGTCCCGACGGCTTCCTGCTGGACTCCTCCCGGGGCAGCTGCATCTGTGAGCCACCAGGAGGGGCGTTCTGCATCTGGCTCCCAAACGGCTGTAGACCTTAGACCCCATTCCCGAGTATTCGTGGACCCTAATTCCCTCACACACACAAACCCTTCTAGACTTTCAGGCCCCCCTCAGATTTAGCCTGGACCTTTAACCAGACCTCTGCGATGATTTCAGAAGTTCCCCTCCAGCCCTCAAACTTTTTATATCGAGGCCCCTCAGGCTCCCAGAGTCTTGAGTTCCAATTGACCTCTAGACAGCTTTCGGATTTTGATATCCAGCTTCTCCGTTATGCCCTGTTTAAGCCCTGGGCACTCTCAACTGTTCTTCAGACCTCCTCCCCCGACTTCCCTTAATGCCCCTTTCACCTACCCACTAAATCTTCCCTGGGACCATTCCCCTATTCCCCTCTCCCAGAACGGCTGAACTCCTCACCCGCCCTGAAGAATTTCCTCCCATCCCCCAGCCCAACACGTGATCTCTGAGGCAAAGGGGCCCTGCTACCGAGTGCTCCATGATGGCGGATGCTCGCTGCCCATTCTTCGAAACATCACCAAACAAATCTGCTGCTGTAGCCGTGTGGGCAAGGCTTGGGGCCGCGGCTGCCAGCTGTGCCCACCTCACGGTTCAGGTGAGCTAGTCCTTCCGATCCACTCTTTCCTAACAGATACACACAGACTCTGGCTAGGCCCTGCTGTGCGGCTCTAAGGTCTAGCGGCTTCAAACCTGGCCACACTCCCAACTTCTGATCAACTCATTGTGGTAGACTCAACCCAGGACTTTACCTCTATCCTTAGCCACGCCTACTCCTGGGTCACAAACCTTGAAGTTAGGTTGACCAGAACTCTCTGCCACCTTCCCAAATGAGGGAAACTCTCGTGGCTCTACCATTGGCTTCTGGAACATCTTATTCTTTGGCCAGTACACTACTCCCTCCGGCGCATAAGCCAGACTCCTGACACTATCTTAGGTCAAGCTTTGTTCCTGGCCAAAGCCTGCTTACGGCTCACAAGATCTGTCTCCTCTCCTGACCTCCCCTTGTCTTGCTCCCAGAGGGTTTTCGGGAGATTTGCCCAGCTGGCCCTGGTTACCACTATTCAGCCTCTGATCTCCGCTACAATACGAGACCCCTGAGCCAGGACCCACCTCGAGTGACCTTCAATCAACCACGCGCCCCACCACCCACTGCTCGGCCACCCATAGGTGAGCTGAATCCCGGATGGGGTTCGATTAAATTTCCAGGTGCTGCCTGAGGTCCATAGGAAACAGAGGGGAGGGGGCAAGGACACCTAAATTTAGGTCCCAATAAAAGTATTCTTTCTTTAACCAGGCTTTCTGCCCACTCGGTCTCGGCCTGAACCCCAGCCTCGGCCTGAATCTCGGCCACAGCCTGAATCCCGGCCTCGGCCTGAATCTCGGCCACAGCCTGAACTCCGGCCTCGGCCTGAACCCCGGCCACAGCCTGAATCTCGGCCACGTCCTGAATTTGCCCTGCCCAGCACCCCTCCTTGGACTGGTCCAGAGAGTCCTGAATCAGGTGCCGTGGGAATCTGAGGGCAGTAGCCAAGATCCTGTGAAGTTCTGTGGGGCAAGGCTCCAGAGGTGGAGGTTTTGAACGGTGATAGAGTGGGGAAGGATGGGGAGAGGGAAGAACTGGAAGGTTTGGGTAGTGGCTCCCTCAGGTACTGGAGTCACAGTTAGGGTCCAGTCCTCTTTTGCACGAGCAGTGAAACCCCGAGCCACCGTTTCTTACCCTGTAAAATGGGCATCCTGAGAGGTTTCTGAAGTAGGGGGTCTGTGAATGCCGTTGTGGGTAGGTTCAGGCAGATCTGATGAGATTCTCTCCGGGTAAATGACAACCTGATCTTCCAAGATTACGCTTGTGGAGGGAACACTCCTAAAGGTACCTTAAGGGAACTAAGGGCACTGTTCTGGGATGGACAATAAGTTCAGAGTTGTAGGAACCTGGCTGACTGTCTCCCCCAGATCCCTCCTCCTCCAGCGTGTGCCAGCGCAATCCCCAGGTTTGTGGTCCGGGACGCTGCGTTCCCCGGCCCAGTGGCTACACGTGTGCGTGCGACCCTGGTTTCCGACTCAACCCCCATGGCACTCGCTGCATAGGTGAGCTGGCCAGAGGGGGTTCAGTGAAGCGGAGCTGCGGTTGAGAGTCCTCTGCCTGGCCACCATGTAACTAGCCTTTTCTGTGCCCTCAGACGTAGATGAATGTCGCCGCGTGCCTATGCCCTGTGCTCCTGGACGCTGCGAGAACACACCAGGCAGCTTTCGCTGCGTGTGTGGAACAGGCTTCCAAGCAAGCCCGCGGGCTACAGAGTGCCTGGGTGAGAATCCCGCCCCGTCCGACCCCCGGCTCCACCCCTGCAGGGGTCTTGGTTCTGCTCTCACTATAGAACCGCTCACGGCTGCTCCTTCGCCTCCCCGACGCCGGTCTGCACCTTGTTCTGCCCTGGCCACCGCTCCAAGATCAGCTCGGCCACATCCCTACTCTGGATCTAACCTTTCTTTCCCTGTGGCCCAGTTTTTGTTCAAATCCCCTTCAAGCTGGGCTCTCACTAGCTCCGCCTTCTCTATCTTGGATGAGCTCACGCCTCCAGGCCCGGTTTGAATTCTACCATTTCTGCAGTTACTCTGACTACGAATCCTGATTCCACCCCCAGCTCTCACCCCAAACTGCCCGTTCGTTCTCTGGCCCTGGCCCTGCCTTCCTTTTCTTCCTTTGGGCCACAAAGATTCCTTTCCTGCTCTTCTCCTTTCCCAGGTCCTGTCCTCTCCAAGTTTGTTCCTCAGCTGCGGTCCTAACTTCCCGACTCGCTCACCACTTCGCTTTAAGCCTACCCACTCTAGCCCTGCCCACCTCCTTAGCCACGCCCCAGACTAGCTTTGGTCCTAGCTTCGCCCCGCCCTTGTCCTGCCCCTGCTGCTCCTCCCTCGGCCTCACATCTTCTCTCAGGGCTCAGGGAGTCTGGGTGTCTGCCGCTTTCTAGCCTCTGGGTTCTGCCCACAGATGTGGACGAGTGCCAGCGCGTGCCGCCGCCGTGTGACCGCGGGCGCTGCGAGAACAAGCCAGGCAGTTTCCTATGTGTGTGTCCCGCTGGATACCAAGCAGCGCCACACGGAGCCAGCTGCCAGGGTGAGGGTCTGGAAGGGGACAGAAAGAAAGAGGATGTAAGGTGAGGGGTGGATAGGTAGCGATAAGGTTGGAGAAACTGAGCAATGGGGCAAAGGGTGGCTTATTGATGGGGGTCGCAGACCAGGGTCAGAGAGTCTAATGTGACCTGGATCAGATGGAAAAGCCAAGTGATGGAAAACAGAAGGGCTGGGTCATGGAGCGTGGAGAAGCAGATGGAGAAGGGACTGAGATGTGAGTAACTAGGAAAGGTGACTGGATTTTGGAAGACAAATGCAACTCAATTCATGGGGACCAGCGAGGCAGAGTTCCAGGAACCAACCACACAACTCCGTTAGAATTGGTGGAGGATGGAGATTCAGGATGCTGGAAGACAGGAAGGAGGAATAGGGAGGATGGAAAAGCAAGGTGAGGGAGCTCAGAAAGAGTGTAGCATGGTGTATGGGGGGCATGAATCCCACCAGAGGCCCTGGGGATTGCTTGCTCCCTGCAGATGTGGACGAATGCACCCAGAGCCCAGGCCTCTGCGGCCGTGGAGTCTGCGAGAATCTGCCCGGCTCTTTCCGCTGTGTTTGCCCGGCTGGCTTCCGCGGCTCGACGTGTGAAGAAGATGTGGATGAGTGTGCCCAGCACCCTCCACCCTGCGGGCCAGGCCGCTGCGACAACACCGCAGGCTCATACCACTGTGCCTGTCCAGCTGGCTTCCGCTCCCGAGGACCAGGGGCCCCCTGCCAAGGTGAGGGTGCTGAGCCCAGGCCTGGAGCACTGTGCATGGCTTGCTGTGGGGGATGGAGAGAGTAGAGAAGCCTTAGGATGGCCTCTGTGACACAGGTCAGGTGACCAGAGTATTGAGAAGGCCGGGCAGATCTGGCTGAATTCTATCTTCTTTCCTTTCTCCCGAATGAGAGAGCATCTATGTTTTCCTCATGTAGCAGCCTTGAACGCATGACCCCCTGCCTCTGCCTCCTGAGTGCTGGTATGAAGGGTGACCACCTACAATTAATCAATTAATGCCTGACCCTCTTCCTGTTTAATTTTTTTTCGAGACCCTTTTCCTGCCTCAGCCTTCTGAGTGCTGGGGTTGCAGACCGGAAACACCATGTTAGTCAGCATTCTACTCTTGAACCAGCCACCCAGGCCTTTCAAGGCTGTCTCCTCCTCCCAGGAGGACAGAGTCAAACCCGGTCCAGCCATTTAATAGTCTTTCTAGCCGTCAGGAAGACCAAGGCACTAGGGAGGCAGAGGCAGGCGGATCTCTATGAGTTTGAGGCCAGCCTGGTCTACAAGAGCTAGTTCCAGGACAGGCTCTAAAAGCTACCGAGAAACCCTGTCTCTGAAAGAAAAAAAAATCCCCCCCCCCAGAAGAAAAACAAAAAACAATTGGTGGTTGGGGTAGGTGGGCATGGCAGTAGGAAGGGGCCCATGCCTATTCTCAGCTTGATTGGCCTCTTCTGCCCAGATGTGGATGAGTGTGCCCGGAGCCCCTCGCCCTGTGCCTATGGCCGCTGTGAGAACACAGAAGGGAGTTTCCAGTGTGTCTGCCCTACAGGCTTCCAAGCCAACGCTGCTGGCTCCGAGTGCGAGGGTGAGACCGGGGAGGGAGGATTGTGAATGCGTGAGGAGGTGGGGGGGCCACTTCCTCAAGACCACTCTCTCCCCTGCTCCTCAGATGTGGATGAGTGTGAGAACCACCTGGCGTGTCCTGGGCAGGAGTGTGTGAACTCACCGGGCTCCTTCCAATGCCGGCCTTGTCCTGTTGGCTACCACCTGCACCGTGGCAGGTGCACTGGTGAGAGCAGGCCCATCTGGGACCTGTACCTTAACCTGATCACTCAGATTTTTGACCTGTGACCTGGTTCGTGACCCTGACTTGACCCATAACTTGGGACCTGAATCTCAGTCCCCTTACACTGGCGATGACAACCAAGTGTTACTCTGACCCGTGTCCCCCTCACCTGCGGTGACTGACTTGACTGTAACCTAGGAACATGTGACTCAGCTGGAACTTTTGGGGACTAGCCATGCATGACCCTTGCTGACAACCCCTGACCTTGTGTCTCAGAAATACATTTCTAAATCCTTACTGTCCCATGACCCTAAATTTGACTGTGCCTTTTGATCTTAACCAAAAAACAAACAAACAGACAAAACCCTCTACAATCCTGACCATGTTATTCTGGTTCACTCTCTATCCACAGCCCTTCTCAGACTCTCTTTCCTGAAGCTTATTTGGGTACATGACCCTTGACCCTGACATCAGGCAGGATTCTCAACTATGGCTTACTTTGATACATTTATCAAGCAGAATCTTATCCAACAATCCTAGTTCATCCCTTCCCTTGGTTAATTTCTGATCCCCAGTGCCAATCCAGAGAGTCCCTTTCGCTGACCTCAGGATCCCAGTAGAGGGAGGCTCCGAAACCCAGATCCACGGGATGTCAAATCCTGGGGTGCTCATCTGTCCTCCAAGATCCTGTCCCATGACTCTCACCAATCCCTTTGCTCTAATGGACCCCTATGAGCCCCCCAACCCTCCCCACAGATGTGGACGAATGCAGTTCGGGCACCCCTTGTGGTCTCCACGGCCAGTGCACCAACACGGGAGGCTCTTTCCACTGTAGCTGCGCTCCAGGTTACCGGGCACCAGCTGGTCTCCCCGGGCCTTGTGCAGGTAAGATACTTCACCTGAGTAAGGCCTGAATTCTTGGGCAAAGCCCATTAGCGATATAAAATGGATTAAGAAAGGAGTTTCCAAAATAACTTAGCCTTCAAGCTTTCAACTTGGCGGGTGGGGTTACATGATGGGCAGTGCTTCCTTTGGGAACCAGCAGCCCAACCCTGACACTTGTGTGCCCTAGACATAAATGAGTGTCTGGAAGGCGACTTCTGCTTCCCCCACGGAGAGTGCCTCAACACGGATGGCTCCTTTGCCTGTACTTGTGCCCCTGGCTACCGGCCTGGACCTCGTGGAGCTTCTTGTCTGGGTCAGTGCCCAGACTGTATCTGAGGGCAGAAAGAAGGGCTTACAGAAGGAAAAGGCGGGACAAGAGGAAGAGAGCGGAGAGCAGGCGTTTTTGGAGGTTTGGGGGGAATCTGCATGGATCACTGGACCGGTGGAGCTTTCGGAACCTGGAGGTGGCAATCATGGAGGACATGTCAGGAAAAGTTGGAGTCTGACAGTTAAGTAGTGACTAGAAAGGACTCCAACCGGGGGCGGAGCTTAGAAGAAAAGGCGGGGCCTAAAACAGATTGGGTGAGCCCTTCCTTGAAGGCTATGGGACTTGGAGGGTCGGGATGGGGGAATTGGAGGGGTGTGGCCTGGGATATTAAGCAGAGCAGGATGTGGCCCTGGGTTTCCATTGCTCTGTCCTGCAGACGTGGACGAGTGCAGCGAGGAGGACCTTTGCCAGAGCGGCATCTGCACCAACACTGACGGCTCCTTTGAGTGCGTCTGTCCTCCCGGGCACCGCGCTGGCCCAGATCTTGCCTCGTGCCTTGGTGAGAGGCCTTACTCCGCTGCCTCCCTGCTTCTCCTGACTTTTACCCTCACCGCTGCTTCTCCTTCCTGACGCTCCTGCTCCTTCTTTGTTTCCCCCGGCTTCTGTCCTCAGACATTGACGAATGTCGTGAACGAGGACCTGCCCTGTGCGGGTCTCAGCGCTGTGAAAATTCCCCGGGCTCCTACCGCTGTGTGCGTGACTGCGATCCTGGTTATCACCCTGGCCCTGAGGGCACCTGTGATGGTAAGACAGTTCCCCATCCCAAATCTGTGACAGGTTGTTGGAGTCTGCTTCCCTGGGAGTTAGAGGAGAGACAGCCTGCTTCAAAAACCTAGAAGAGATCCTAGGTTAACACTCCCCCCACCCCACCCCCGCTGTTTTCTGGTGGAAATTTGCCACCCCTGTGTGTGTGTTTAATTATGGGGAGGGATTTCTCTTATCAGGAATCGGGAGGAGCTAGAAGCCTCCCCTGACTGAGCTGCTCTAGTATGTTTTTGAGGGAAAGTGTGCCATGTGGATCAGTATTTTCCGTGTCCCGTGAAACAAAACGCTTATGGGCTGCACTTCGCTCCCTAGTGGCTAAACCTCTGACTCATGCAAATCTCAATCATTAGTTCCAAAGATTTCAGGAAGCACCTGCTGGATGTCAGACTGGGGTGAGGGCACGGCAGGAAAGGAGCCAAACTAAACCTCTGCCCTCCTGAGCTGTGGGGGGAGTGGGGTGGGTAACTGTAAATAAATTCAGAGATCATTCCACAGATAACTCGGGGGCCGTTTCTATGTGACAGGCGCTGTTGATGCCTTGACAGGCAGAAATCCTTACTGATGTGGAGTTTGCATGGCAGGATGGTCCCTGTCAGCATACCGATCATTTTATAGACATGATGACAGCGTGTTTTGTTCACACAGTGTTTTGCTGTGTGGGCCATGCTGACCTTCAACTTATTTTTTTTTTTTGGTGTGAGACAGTCTGTCTCGATCCCAACTCGGGTGTGTGTGTGTGTGTGTGTGTGTGTGTGTGTGTGTGTGTGTGTGGCTCTGGCTGGCTTGGAATTTACTATTGTAGGATGCACTTGCCTGGAACTTGCAACAATTCTCCTGCCTCAGCCTTCTTAGCACTATGTTCTAGTCATGCGCTCTGACTCCCAAGTGCTGGAATTACAAGCATGTTTCACCATGCCAAGCTTAAAGTCAGGTTTAAGAAAGAAGCTACGGGCTGGAAAGATGACTCAGTGGTTAAGAGCACACTGACTTCTCTTCCAGAAGAGAAGTTGTTCAGTGGTTCAATTCCCAGCGCCCACATGGCAGCTCACAACTGTCTATAACTCTAGTTCTAGGGGATCTGACACCTTCACATAGATATATGTACAGGCAAAGCACCAGTCATGTGAAATAAAAATAAACTAAAAAAGAAGAAAGAAAGAGGTTATGAACCAGGCGTGGTGGCATACGCCTTTAATTCCAGTACTTGGAAGGCAAAGGCAGATGGATCTCTGTGAGTTTGAGACCAACTCTACAAAGAGAGTTCCAAAACAGCCAGGGCTAAACAGAGAAAGAGTGTCTCAAAAACCAAAAACAAAACAACAACAACAAAAAAATCACAGAAAGAGGCCATGAGACTGAGTTCCTCAGTTGATACAAGACAGATGGACACTGGGTAAAGGCATAAAGCGAGCGCTGTCCTGTGACCCAGTATTTGGGAGGTGGAGGGTGGGGGATCAGAAGTTCAGGGTCATCCTTGGCTGTGTGACAAGTTTGGGGTCAGCCTAGCTTCTTGAGATTCTAAATAAGAAGTAACGCTAGCTTTTGAGGGAGAGCGGGCGTGGTGGCGTCCACTCCTACAATCCCGGTAACTGGAAGGCGGAGGCAGGAGGAATTGACAGTTTTCCTTGGCTACGTAGGATTCAAGGCCAGCTTGGTCTACTTGAGACCCTGCCTCTAAAACTAAACAAAATTTAAAATTGAAGAAAAATAAACCAAGCATGGTGGTCTATGGCTTTAGTTCCAAAACTTGGGAGGCAGAGACAAGCAGATCTCTGTGAGTTCAAGGTCAGCCTGGTCCTCATAGTGAGTTCCTGGACAGCCAGACAGTCAGGGCTCCATAGTGAGACCATGTCCCAACTTAAAAAGAAGGGAGGGAGGGAGGGAGGGAGGGAGGGAGGGAGGGAGGGAGGGAGGGAGGGACGAAGGAAAGAGGAGGAGGAGAGGTCATGGATTTGAAAGGGAGTGGGGAGGACGGGGGAATTAATTGGAGCACTGAAATGAATGATGTAAATACAGCTCCCATAGGAAATCTCAACAAAAAAGGGGGGCAGTGAAATGAGGGGCAGGGGGCCATAGCTGTGGGGACATATCTGGCAAAGAGAACAGCGTCAGCAAAGGTCCTGAGGTGGGCGGGGTCCTGTTACAGTTGTTTCAGAAATGGCAGTAAAAGACTTAAGAGCTACAGGACTCAGCAACTGGAAGCAGCATCAGTGACCCCCCCTCCCCCGCTGCCCCCCATTTCAGGCCCTTGACTCTCCTCCCTCTGTCCCTCCTTTACTCTCTTGCAGATGTGGACGAGTGCCAAGAATACGGCTCTGCGATTTGCGGAGCGCAGCGCTGTGAGAACACCCCTGGCTCCTACCGCTGCATGCCAGCCTGTGACCCTGGTTATCAGCCCACACCAGGGGGCGGATGCCAGGGTGGGTGTCCACTGGGTAGTAGGTGGGATGTGGAGGGGACTTGAGATTTCGATATGGCCCTGCTGAAATGGCCTGCTGGTGCTTGCAGACGTGGATGAGTGTCGGAACCGATCCTTTTGTGGTGCCCACGCCGTGTGCCAGAACCTGCCCGGTTCCTTCCAGTGCGTCTGTGACCAAGGCTACGAGGGGGCACGGGATGGACGTCACTGCGTGGGTAAGGGACTGTAGGGCGTGTGGGACCACAGGGGGCATAGGGTGGTCCGGCCCTGCTCATCTTCCACTCTCCTGAAGAAACATGAATTCTGGAGTTGCAGAATTAGTTCTCAGAATTTAAGGTCAGAGGCATACCAGCTAAAACCACCCTGCAGTGCCAAACATGGTGGCTCACTTCTACCAACTTGGGAGGCAGAAACAAGAGGATTGCTGTGAGTTCAAGGCCAGTCTGAGTACATAGCAAGTTCCAGGCTATCCAGGGCAATAGGGCAGGACCCTGTCTCCAAACAGAAAGAATCAGGTGACAGAATCTTAGTCAATTAGTTGTTTGCTTGCTTGTTTTTGTTTTTTTTTTTTTTTTAAGATTTATTTATTTTATTTTACGGGTATTTTTCCTACATATATTTATTGCACCACGTTTGTGCCTGGTCCCCACAAAGGTCAGAAGAGGGCTTTGGATGCCCTGGAACTGGAGTTGCAAACAGTTGTGAGCCCCCATAAGGGTGCTGGGAATTGAACCCTGGATTATCTGTAAGCAACCCCCAATTAAGTTTTGTGTGTGCATTCATTTCTTTTCTTTCTCTCAACGAAATGGCATCCCAAATCCTTCTAGTGCTTTTTGTTGTTGTTTTGTTTTTCTTTTTCCATCGGGGGAAGGGGTCTCATGCCTTGAGCTCACTGTGTAGACATGAAGGGCCTCCAATTTTGGATCCTTCTGCCTCCACTTCTGAAGTGCTGAGATAACAGGTGTATGCCATCGCACCCAGCTGCAGCCAAATTTTTCCACTTTATTTAGAAATAGAACCACTAAATTGCCGAGACTGGCCTTGAACTCACCTTGCAGCTGAGGCAAGCCTTGAATTTGTAAAACTCCCGCCTCAACCTCCCTAGTAGCTAGGATTACAGCTCTGGGCCACCAGATCGGACAGAAAGTTTCTACATCCAGCAGTAGAGAAAACCGCAAGCTGCACCTCTCTGTGCCCACAATGTAGATTCTGTCATTACCACGATCACCACAACCATTGCCGCTGTCGTCATTATTGCTAGTATTTTAATGTGCTGGCCACCTCATATATCCATCTAGGAAAGCATTTAGGTGTTTGGAGAGATTTGCGGGGCTTTTGAGAGTTTGTTTTTGAGAAAAGAATCTCATTCTAGCCTTGACTGGCACTGAACTCATTCCTAGATCAGACTGGCCCAGAACTCACTACATAGAACAGGCTAGCCCTGAACTCACTACATAGAACAGGCTGGCGCTGAACTCACTACATAGAACAGCCTAGCCCTGAACTCACTACAAAGAACAGGCTAGCCCTGAACTCACTACATAGACCAGACTGGCTCAGAACTTCCTACATAGAACAGGCTGTCCCTGAACTCACTACAAATAGACAGGGCTGGCCCCAAACTCACTATGTAGAACAGGCTGATACAGAACTCACTCACTTAGACCATGCTGGCCTTCAGCTTGCCTTGACCCTCCTGCCTTTGTCTTCTGAGTGTTGGAATTACAGTCATGAGCCAACCTTCAGTCTGCGTATCATTAATTAGCATTCCTTATGTCTTTACAGATATTTTAATTAGAGGCCCAATGCATGTGGAGGGCAGAGGACAACCTGTGGGAGTCTGTTCTTTCCTTCCATCATGTGGGTCCCTAGGGACCAAATTCAGGTCGTTAGGCATGACAGCAAGCGAGGGCGTTTACGTCCTGAGCCATCTTTCTGGCTCTAGAGATCTAGTATATACACAGTGAAGTACATAGGATTGAGCTGTATATCCTCTAGGTTTTCACAAGTGCAAACTCCGACTTTATTCTTTTTTCTTTTGGGTTGGGGGCACGAGGGTTGAGGCAGGGTCTTACTGTGCAGCCCAGACTGGCCTTAAACTAACAGTTCTCAATGCCTTCACTTGTTTTCTCTTTTGTTTTTTGTTTGCTTGTTTTGTTTTGAACTACTTCACCAACAGCATTTACTTCTTAAAAGAGAATTAAGAAGGCATGGGAAAGGATGAGAAATGGTCCAGCAGCTAAGAGTGTGGATTGCTGTTTTGAGAGGCCCTCTGTTTGATTCCCAGCACTTATGTCGGGAGACAACCACTTGAAATTCCAGCTCCAGGGGATGCGTCACCTCTGGCCTCTGAGAGCACCTGCGCTCACGTATACATACCCACATATAGATACACACACATATACTTGATTGAAAACCAATATTTCACCAGGCGGCGGTGGCACACATCTTTAATCCCAGCACTTGAGAGGCAGAGGCAGGCAGATCTCTCTCTGAGTTTGAGACAAACCTGGTCTACAGAAGAAATTTCAGGACAGCCAGAGCTACACAGAGAAACTCTGTCTCAAAAAAACAAAACCCTCATATATGTAATGTTTCGCTTGAATGTATATTTGTATAGCACATATGTGCCTGGTGCCCTTGGAGGAAGGAATGTCAGATCCCCTGGAAATGGGGTTATGAGCAGTTGTGAATTGCCAAGTGGGTGCTGGGAATGAGCCTGGGTCTTCTGCAAGAACAAGTGCTCTAAAACACTGAGCCATCTCTCCTGCCCCCAACTCGTGTGTGTGTGTGTGTGTGTGTGTGTGTGTGTGTGTGTGTGTGTGTTTTGAGACAGGGTCTCACCATGTAATTCTGTCTGGCCTGAAACTCACTATGTAGATCAGACCAGCTTCGTACTCACAGAGATCCACTTGTCTCAGCCTCCTGAGTACTGGGATTAAGGACCTGTGCCACCATGCCAAGTCAAATACATATACCTTTATTTTTAATTAATTAACTTGTTTTCAAAGAAGGGTTTCTCTGTGTAGCACTAACTATCCTGGATGTCATTCTGTAGGCCAGGCTGGCTGTAAACTCAGAGATTCGCCTGCCTCTGCCCCCCAAGTGCTGGGATTATGCACTTGCTGCTTTTGCAAAGAGTCAGATTCAGTCCCCAGCACCCACATGGTGTCTCACAACTGTAACTCCAGTTCCAGAAGATCTGCTGCCCACTCCTGGCCTTGGAGGGCACCAGGCACTCATGTGATGCGCATACATATGTGCTGGCAGATGTTCAAAACATAAACAACAGCTGAGAAGAGAGGGAGGCCCTAAAGAGGCAAAGTCTGAGTGCAGGTGGAACTGGAGCCAAGAGCTGCAGCAAAACTGTCTGCCTCCCTCTGTTGGGCTTGTTTTTAGGCAGTGACAGGTGGCCCTAGCTCTCTCTGGGCTGACACCCTCTGCCTGGCAGCTGGAGAGCTACGGAGGTGACCCAGAAAGTCTGAGACTGGCTTTGATTGGCGTGGTGAGGTCATTGCCTGTCTCTGACCCAGAGAATCGCAGTAACCTGATTGGTTCTGCCCCAGTGGAGACTTGGCTGTACTCAGGATGCCTGGGGCTGACTTGGAAGCTCAGAGAATTCCCAAGGGAAAGTCCGAGTTTCTAACCAGAAGAAAAGTACACAATAGAGTCTGGGCTGTTTCCTATCCACTCTAGGGGAAGGAAAGTTGGATCAGCAGTTTAGAGCACTCGCTGGTCTTTCAGAAGCCTGGAATCCGGTTCCCAGCACCCACATGATAGCTCACAATCATCTACAATCCATTTCCCAGAATCCAGCACCTTCTGGTCTCCACTGGTACCATGGGCACGGCACACATACAAGCATATGCAAACACAAGACACACACACATCTTTTTAAAAAGTTTACATTGTGAACCAGGTGTAATGTGTGTGTTTCTACTGCCGGCCCCCTGGGAGACCGAAGTAGGAGGAGGGCAGCCTGGGCTATACAGGGAGGTCCAAACTATCCCGGGTTAAAGAGTAAAACTGGTTTTTGTTCATGTTTTTGGTTTTAGTTTTTGGGGGATTTTTGTTTTGTTTTTGTTTGTTTGGCTTTTTTTTTTTTTTTTTTTTTTTTTTTTTTTTTTTTTTTTTTTTTTTTTTTTTTTTTTTTTTTTTTTTTTTTTTTTTTTTTTTTTTTGTTTTTTTTCTTTTTTTTCTCTCTCTCTCTCTCTCTCTCTCTCTCTCTCTCTCTCTCTCTCTCTCTCTC